CTTGTCATGCGAATAGCTTGCACGCAAGGAACGTTTGGAATTTTTACGAACACTATTTTTAGTTTTTAATTCTTTTAGGAAATAGACTTGCCTAGATTTAATCTTTATGCCCCAAATATTATTTACATCGGAGCTGTATCATAAATTGTACTCGGATTCAAACAACACAATGTCAATGACTTTATAAAAGTAAAAGCATATTGGGTATTGGCCTATTGAGTTTACACTTTCATAGGTTCATTTAACTTTAAGTCTTTAACTCTCTCAAATCTTAACAGACAACTGGACATGCCAAATCCATTGATATGACAAATTGACAACTTCAAAAAACTTTTTTTTGAAGCTAGAAATCATGATTTTTTTTCCTTGGATACTTTGTTTTCTGCTCTCTAGACTCCCCCTCGCAGCTCTAGTGCTCCACCCCTAGAATATAGACCTTACTGGGGTTTGGTGACACTTTGTGTTGCTTCAGTCACCTGCTAACGGCTCACCCCCCCTAAAATTTCTGGCACCACCCCAGTAATAAATATGAAAATCCGTCTATGGTTATAGTGCTCTTTCGTTTGATAGTTGCTTGAAGTATTCTCCTCCATTTGCAGCTTGTACAAATTCAGAGCCCTAAAAACCCGAAACCTCAACCCCCAACTGCACCTGTTTCTAATGTAAATAGTGGTCGATTTCAAGAAGATGCTCAAATGGTGAATCAACAGTCAGTACAGGGTGATACAAATCATATTGCCATGGTTTATAGCCCTGTAACTGCGCTACATGATCAGCTACCATTGCAAGAGAGTGAAGCACAGCCACAGGTGGTTGGTGTAAATCCGGATTTGGGAATGGAATTAGGTGGAGTGATTGTCCTTGATGATGTAAATGTACAAGACGTGGTATTGGTAACGACAGTTCAAACCACACCAGCGATTATGGAAGAAGTTTAAACTTTTGATGTACTTATTGTAATGCTATAATTTGGTAACCTACAATTTTGACAACTTAAGTCCTGGTCAAACGAGAGTATTGCAACTTAAATAAAATACATGATAGTATAATAGTTTTGTTTGTGGAAACACCACGTAAATTTATTACTCCATGCAAACATACAAAGAACTTATACATGATAGTGTTGCGAAAGCATTGAGAACAGCTAACCAAGATTACGTGATTGCCAACTCTCGGCTTTGGTTCGACAGTTTGTCATAGGCATACGAACCAAGGGGAAACTGTTTTCTACGCCAACGATAATCTTAGAATTAAAACAATTAGCTGTAATTTATTTTAAGATTATAATGAGTAAATAGTAATATTTTGTCAAGTCAATGTTATTGTGTTATCCCCAGTCGTGCCTTCTTTATAAACCAATCATGATGTGAGAATTATTTTAATTACTTCTATACAATTTCACTCAAATACTGAAACGCTAGAATATAATAGCAATATTAAAAACGATTAACGCTTATATGTTAAAACTGAATTCAAGCTTGGAAAGCGCCAACCATCTTGAATTTTGAACAAATATTGCTAGCTTACATCAATTATTCCCAGCCTAGACCCTTCTTATGAGAGGGGAGGAAAATTATGAGCCTGGTCAAGACAATGAGGTCTTTGGCTTAAACGTAGCACTTAACACTCCTTAACATTTTTGTTTCTCATAATCAAGGCATTCCTTTTACTTTATTAGATTTTTTGGGGCTTATTAGAAAGGGGGCTTATTAGAAAGAGGGTTTATTAGAAAGAGGGTTTATTAGGAAGAGGGTTTATTAGAAAGGGGGTTTATTAGAAAGAAGGATCATTAGAAAGAATGACTCATTAGGAAAGGACTTATTAGAGAGAGAGAGAGTGGTTTATCAGGAAGCGGGCTTATTAGAGAGAGACTTGTTACAAAAAGACGTATCACAAAGGGGGCTTATTAAAATTATAAGAGGCCTTATTTGGCTTATTAGACAAGGGCTACTTGGAGAGGGGCTACTTAGAAAGGGAGTTTAGTAGAGAAAGTACCACTATCTAGCTACAAAAACAACTCCCTTTAAGATTTCATGTTTCATTTCAATGCATGTTTATAATGAATTTGTAAGATTTTGTGTAATTATCTTTTAGGAGTACGGTATATAATTACTTTTCTAAACTGATGCGGATGTACGTGTATACGTATATGTATGTACAATAACGTGCCTGATGGAAATTGAAAACACTTAAACGTTTGGAGAAAAAACCTTTATAATATAGTCAGGAAGTTAACAGGACAAAACGTAATTAAAGTGTTAACTTTCAAGTACTTCAGACACACACCATGCATGGGAACCTTATTGTAAACACTTTTAAATCCGGTGTGGTACAGATGCGTGGGCGAGCTGTAGTTTAATCAACAACAAAAACTTTCTTTGTAATATATTTAAAGTTCGACTAATTCATGCTGAGTGCAAAAAAAGAAGATTCAGTATGAAGTAAGGTATCACGCTGAGTAGATGTGTTCAGTAATACACTCTATATAGTTGTATATATGAGCTCGATTCTTCTCGATAAATGCATAACCCAAATAACTTTCATATATAAACTATAACAGATTGGTTGTAACGTAAGGCACGGTATGGTTAAGGTTTAACAATATAGGTTTAGAGTAAGATTTTGGATT